AAAAAAAAAAATTGAAATGAAAATGCAGTTATTTAACACTTTTCCTGTCATGCATAATGTTGTAAGCAAAATATTAATTATCTGGTTAAAGAAAAGAAAATGCAGAAAACAAAGATGTGAATGGCTATGGTGGCCCTCATGGAGCCATTGAATACCATAGGTTGTACTGATGAAGTGTGAGCTACCATGTACATGTGGACAAGAACTGATAATATGAACTAACATATTTTTAAACAAATTATATCCCTAATTGTTTATAATGCATACGTTTTAGTTTGTTATGCAAAGAACTTGAACAAATAGAAATCTCTTCTCTGCTCAAAGGAAGGTTTTGTCTTGCTTGTTACAGTTCGGCTATAACCATTACTTAACACGACCTGGCTCAAAGGTTTGTGGCCTAGTTGGTGCCGAGTTTAAGGTAGGCCAATCCAATAGGCTGAGACACTGGGTGGGTATATCAGGGTCTGCTTTGGAGTGGTTCAAATCTTATTTGTGTGAACGATCCTTCTCTGGGGCTACCTCTAAGTACAGATCCTCTTCTGTTTCTCTTACCTATGGTGTGCCACAAGGTTCGGTTTTAGGGCATTTGTTTTTATTGTTTTTGTTGTATTTACTCCCTCTTCAGCAAACCTTCTGAGCACTTTTATGGACATTTCTTATCACTGCTATGCAGATGATATTCAGTTTTATATCTCCTTTAAGCCACAAGATGTTTCCAAGCTACAGATTTTGCATATACTCCATTAGAGGTTGGATGGCTGATAATTTTCTTCAACTTAATGAGGAGAAAATAAAGTCCTTGTTTGTGCTCCCGATGAATTTGTGCCCATGGTTTTGGAAAATCTAGGTCCTCTTGCTAAATTTGCCATATCTTCTATTAGGAATCTTGGTGTAACTTTTGACTCAGCTCTGACTTTGGACGCTCATGTTAAATCTCTGCTTCGCTCCTGTTTTTATCATTTAAGAAACAATGCTGAGTCCTATTGTGTCACGCTCTGAACTAGAAATGATCATACATGCATTTGTTTCATCTCGTTTGGACTATTCTAATTCTTTGTTCACTTGTTTATGTAATGCCTCCTTGGAACGTCTGCAGGGTGTTCAGAATGCTGCTGCAAGGCTTCTGACCAAGTCTTCCAAGTACTCTCATGTTACACTCCTGCTGATCCAGCTGCACTGGCTCCCCATTAAAGTCAGAGTTCACTTTAAGATTATGACTTTGATATTCAGGGCTTTGCATGGAGAAGCACCAACATACATCAGAGATTTCTTACATCCATACATCCCCAACAGGTCCCTGAGGTCATGTGATCAGGGCTTGCTGGTTGTCCATCACACGAGGCTAAATAACTGAAGATGACAGAGCTTTTGTAGCTGTGGCCCCCAGACTCTGGAACTATCTCCCTTTGAGTTTGAGATCTGTGGACTGAAGAAATTAAAAACTCATCTTTTTAAACTTGATTTTATGTTTTTAGCTTCAGTGAAGCACTTTGTGATTTTATCTTGAAAGTTGCTATATAAATAAAATTTTATATTACTTACTTTTACTTTACTTAGATGAATACATTTAGAATTTCTAGTTCATTTCTTGTGTTCTGCTTTAAGAATAAACATAAATGTTTGTCTTTAGGTTTCATGCACTTAGCGTCTAGTTCATAGATGCTCAATTAGTCCTTTTTAAAAAGTAAAACTTGTTTCTATTCGATTAAAGCAACAATGTTGGCATTCTGTTAGAAACAGTCACACTGACCAACAGCTAGAAACAGACTTTGAAGAACAACCTGCATTATCTTTTCTGCTAAAGTGTACTTCCTACCAAACTGACACGCATGAACATGCTATGTTTTGCAGCTCATCTTGTTGAAACAGCCGTGAAACATTTACCCAGAAAGTTTTCTGTTGGCATTAGTTTGCAGGGTAGATACTGTAGCCGATAAACATACATACAGATCTTCATTTAGATGACGGTGTGGTCCCAGCTACACACTGTTTGTCTGCGGCCTGTAGGCTAAAGAATTAGTCTAACTTTGTCTTCCATTCCCTGCCAAGGTTCAGTCTGCCGGCTGCTGTCAGTCAGCCACAGAAAGCCATCTGAGACATAGAGAAACTTTTCTGACATTGCCCCAAAGAGCCTTTCCCTCCTTTTTAATGATAAAAAAAAGAAAATATGATAGGCTGGATAAACCTGTTTATATTATTATTGACTGTCGGTGACAGTTGGACTGTTAAATCCCTGCTGTTTTTAATCACATTTATGGTAAATGGTAAATGGCCTGTATTTGTATAGCGCTTTACTAGTCCCTAAGGACCCCAAAGCGCTTTACATATCCAGTCACCCACCCATTCACACACACATTCACACACTGGTTTATGTTCTCAGGCACAGATGAAGTATTGCTGTAGAGAGGATTGTTTGATTGTCATTTCTGTCACTGTGTGCTGCTATCTCATAACCACCACCCACAAAACTGCCATCCGCTCCCTATCCCTCCATTTTTTTTTCCTCCACAGTGAGTCATTCGTACGGTTATGGGCTCTTGGATGCAGGTGCTCTGGTGGCGTTGGCACAGAATTGGACATCAGTGGGACCGCAGCACCAGTGTGTTAACACGATGCTTTCAGAACCAAGGTTAGAAGGATGACTTAGAGCATGTGTGTGTGTGTGGGTTTGTCCGTAAAAAGAGTTTCACCATTGTTACAAAGACTTCCTGTTCTATCATATCTCTGACCCTGATGGATGTCGCTGCATTCTCCTCCAAGCCGGGGAGGTCGCTTAAGTTTAAAGCACAGTGCTGTTCGGTGTCCATTTCTGCCTCCACACAACATTAACCACTCTGCCCACCACTTGTCAAATCTGCAGAGACATCGGGAACAAACTGGTGTTCAGCAAGAGCGTGGATGCCTGCTGGGGACGACCAGAGCATGTCAGCTCGCTGGAACACGTTCAGGCTCGCCTCACTCTCTCCTACAGCCAGAGAGGAAAATTGGCCATTCATCTCATCAGCCCGCTGGGCACACGCTCCACCCTGCTGTTCCCCAGGTACACAGTAAAAAAACAGGACAACAGCAGCCAGGTCCTAATATAAATCTCTCTTTTTCTGTGCCACACACTGACAAATAATGTGCGTGTCCCTCGGTTTTACTTCGGCACACATGCTCCCACAGGCGTATTCTCTGAGACAAATACTCAGAGTATGCCTGCTTTCAGATGCAGGGAAAAAACACCATTATGTCCTCTCTTTTTATTTATTCAGGCCCAATGACTTCTCCTCAGAGGGTTTCAATGACTGGGCCTTTATGACCACACACTCATGGGACGAAGACCCTCAAGGAGAGTGGACCCTGGAGATAGAAAATGTAGCACCTAATGGACGTGACTATGGTAACCTAACTCATCTTCATTAATTGCCCGGACTGGCTGCATCACATCAAACCTTCTTCCGTTCCAGCATTATCTTATGTATTTCCACGCTTCTCTTAGTAGCCTCTCTGCAGTTCTTCCTTTTTTCTCCTTTTCTAACGGTCTATAACAGCTTTGGTTCCAGCAGAGAGGCTCTTAGAAACTGCTCCAGATTAAAAGTTAAGAGTCTCTGGGCAGAGAACGAGTCTTCTGCACGAAAGTCTTTGGCAACTATTTGATTATCTAAACTTCAGTGTCTTGAGAATGTTTTTCTTTCCAACAACTGGGCTGCACTTTAGCTCTAAAAGCAAAAGGCAGCACACTGACAGAAAGAGTTGCCATGTTTTCCAGTAGATTTGTTTTCTCTGAGCAGCAGAGGGAAACGAGAGAAACACCTCTCTTTCTCTGCTGCTGTTGATCCTCCTCCACTGTTGTTTGGGCCACTCACATCACTCGTTTCCTGTCTTTCCACCCCCATATCCTCTTCTCAGCCAGTTCACTCTGTTCCCTCTTTGAGAAGTGCTAAATTGATATTCTCTTTCACCACTTACACCTCCACTCTCTCTGCCTCTGTTCTCCTCAGGTGTGTTGAGTCAATTCACCCTCATCCTGTGGGGTACTGGGCCCAGCATAGTCAACCCCTCGTCCCCCGACTTCCCTCGGCCGTCCAACAACAGCTGCAAGACATTCGATGCCCAGCAGATCTGTATCGGTGAGATCGATCGGCCTTCCGCTGTCACGCATGAGCCACTTAGGTTAAATAGGTTCATTTGTATTGGCGCCGGCGTACAGTCGTTGTTACCAAACAGGCTTTGGGTCAGACTGTGTTGAGCGTTTCAGTTTGTGAAAAGTGAATGTGAATACAAATTGGCAATTTACAAGCCTCTTGCGCATCTGTTTATGTGCGCACAATGAATACGCACGTTGCCATATGTCATATCAAAGAGTGGAACGTATTGCGAGCAGCAGGGGAGATTTAAACTGCGCCAGTGCCTCAGGTGCATGTTGTCAGCAAGGATGCCTTCCTCAGTGAAAAGCAGACGAAGTCAAAAATTTTATGCTTCAAGCTTCTTCTTAATCATTTTAGACATTTCAAAAATTTCAGTAAAATCAACATTACAGTTATCACTGCTTCTTTTATTTCATTTCCTCAGTTGCCTGCTAATTTCTCTCAAATTAAGTCTAAGATTCTGACTGGAGAAACCAACAAAGGACAAAAGGAGGAAATACTGAAATAATTGTTAACACTTGTTTTTTTGCCTGTTTGTGTTCTTTTGTAAATTAGCTGTCTTAGGGTAGAATATATTTCATATTTATTTATGGTTTTATAGACTAAAGACGCTTTATAGCTTCTTTATCTCATTAGCAAGTAAGAAATGAAGTTCCAATTAATTACATGCAGTGACATAGATATGGACTGTAATTAATCCCACACTGGGGAAATTCACTTGTGCGCAGGGGACAGGGTGAAAAAGATGTATTAGAAAAATAAAAATAGGAAAAATGGTGCACAAAAAATGGCAAAATACTATAATGTGTACAAATGGTTACTATATATAGTAAAAATACACAGTGCAGTGGGAGTGATAATAATACACAAATATATATATATATAATTTTTAAACAGTGTTTGACGGTATGTGGTTCAAAGTTCAGAAATCATTTGTAGGTCTTATTTTCATTGCGTTTATGACATAAACGCCCTCTTAACTCATTAATCTGCCCCTCTCCATCCAGAGTGCAGCCCTGGCTTCTCCCTCTTCCTGCAGGGTTGTGTGAAGTTGTGTCCGCCAGGCTTCACGTCGGGGCAGCAGCTCCTCAACCTCTCTCTGGAGAACTGGGTGGATTTGTCCTCCGTCCAGGCCTGCCTGCCCTGCAATCCCGCCTGTCTCACTTGCTCTGGCACCGGGCCTGCAGATTGCCTGTCCTGCCCTCCTCACAGCCATCTGGTCTTCACCTCCTGTTTGCACCAGAACCAAGTCCAGCGAAAATCCCCTCTAACTGGAGGACTCCAGGGTGACGGAGCGCAGCCAGAAGGTGCGAGTCCAGCAGCAGCAGACCACGACAGCAAAGGAGCTGAGGAATCCCCAGGGCTCATTGTAGCTCCGTCCACTCAACTCCCCGCCGTCGTGGCCCTTCTCAGCTGTGCCTTTATCCTGGCTGCCTTTGTCGGGGTCTTCTTCTTGCTGCAGTTACGCTCAGGTGGCGCTTCTGCCTGGAGGACCAAATTGCCCTCTGGATTTTCAGAGACGAACGGGGTGCGGGTGGGCTTTGGTTTTGGCTTCCGGCAGGGACGGGAGAGAAAGGCAAGGATATGCTACAAGGGAATCCCCACTGTGTGGGCGGATGAGGACATGATTGCCTACGAGTCTGAATCAGACAGCGAGGAAGTGGACGGTCACAGCGAGAGAACAGCTTTTATTAAGACGCAGAGCTCAATCTAGCTGAAGCTGCATCTGCTGTTGTGGTGTCTGACACGACGACAGGTCTGACTGCACGGAGCTGATTCGCACAGGTTCAGAAAAACACAAAGCGCAGGCCTTACTGTCCCATCGGCACCCCATCCAAACGCAAAAGAGCCAATCATTTTTTTTCTTGTATTTATTTGCTTCATGTGTATTTTCATGTATTTTATCTTTTATTTGATTGATGTCAGTTGTATTGATAAGCTTTGTCACCATTTAAATGTGTTATGCAACTAATTTACTTTGGAAATATTTTTCAGAGTGCTTTCCAGAAAATGAGTACTGCCACACCCTCACACTCCTCCACTTATATAAAAAAAGATGGCGCTTTAATTAGAATTGTAATTTTGCAGAAGAGTGCAAACTCAAAATTATCTTGTGGCCATATGCTGCAGGCGTGCAAAGGCAAACAAGGAAGATTAGAATATTTTGGCTTTTATTGGAATCTTTTCTCTCTGACGCCTCAGGATATTATAGCATTACAGAGACAAGGGTGACAAAATCACAGTCCACACCACCAGGAAAGTGTTCCTGTGCTCGTGGTTGTGTTCGTGGCTTGATGCAGCACCTTCGGGCACTTCCACTGAAAAGTGCATTCTGGTGTTTTGGGTTGTAGTTTGTAACCCTTTGCTCTCATCACTGTGGATGATCTTTTATGTGACATCCTGGTCAGTTTGAGAGGGAAGTTGTTTACTCGAGGCATTTGAGGTCGCGATGAATCTGCCGAGACACATGTGATGAAAAGGGCAGCTCCAGGGAGTGACTTAAGAAAAAAAATAGTGGGAGTGCTGGAAGCACTCGAGAAGGTCGAGCTGACCTTGAAAGGGAGCTCAAATCCAAGTTGGGTATGGTTTTTGCTTTTTATAGACAAAGCTGCAAACTTTTCGATTGCATTTGTAGGTCAAGGCCCCAAATCGATGAATACTAGTGTCGAACTGAATATCTGTAAATTTCAAACTATATATCTGCACTTGGGGGGGTTCCTGAGGGGGAGAAAAAAACAGCGCCTCCTAGCATAAAAACTAATTTATGCTAATAAGAACTCGGAGTAACCTTGATGGAATCACAGTAGTTAATTTATTCAGGCTTAGCAAAGCACCTCCAGAAGTAAAGGCCTTATTCAGAGGCTGAGAAGCACTTGTGCCAAGCAGTGTGTAGAAATGCGTGGATTGGCCCTTTACTCCATTACTTTATCTAAGGCATATCTAATTTGTCTCAAATACAAACATCTGGCCTCTACTTCAGGTGGACTTCTAATATATTGCTGTTGTTATCGTTCATCAGAGACCTGACAGATTGCAGGCCAGGGGTTATAAAGTTGACTCGCTGTTCATTAATGCTAAGAAAAACTTTAAATTGAGGATTTCTGCAGCGCACTGGGACAGCATAATAAAACATCCCCGCAGGTTGTTTGATAAGCAGGAAACTGTGGAGGATGCTCTGTTTTCAATCAAGCCTCAGTGGGAATTTCCACTGCAGAGCAGACACCAGAGATGGTACATCAATCACACAGAAATGTGCCGAATTACAGTGAGCAGCACTGTTTTTAATGACATTAACCACTCAGCCCAAAAGCTGCTTGGCTAACCTTGTGAAGCATTGTGCCACTTGGTTACTGTGGGTGAGAAACAAGATAATTCTCTCTTCATTTTCCCCCCAGAGTGTGCTTTATATTGATTTTGGGGCTTCTCTCAGAACATCTTCATCAAAGTGAAGCTTCCTCCCTTTCTGCTGTGAACACCAAACATAAAAGGACAAATTCATGCTTTATATTCTCTCTATAACGACGTAGACTTGCAGTTATGCGGCCAAATCAAAGCCTTTGGATCCAAAAGACCAGAATGGCTAGTGATTAAAAAAAATAGGAAGATAATGATTCAATTTTCTATGTTTGTTTTTATTTTTAATCCTTTTTTGTTTTTACTATTTAACTGATGATGGATGTTATGTGTTGAGATCAATTTCATGCTGGATTAATTAAAAAAAAAAAAAAGTTTGGCTGTTGTAAAGCAGGTCTGTGTTTTTACTGCCAGGGTTGAAACCTTTTATAGTTTTTTTAAATGCATCTTAAATTCAGCCCCTGACATACAAACATCCCAGAAAGAGCAGATGGTTCCTCGCTTCTTCATGGTCATATATCAGGGTTGCCGCTGCGTTTCCTTCACTCCTGGCATTGAGCTTTAACAGAGTGCCAGCCGCCTTTTTTCCTGCCTGCCATCCAGTTGCAGCAGTGAGCAAAGCTGCCAAGAACGCCTTCAAGAAACTGTTCCCTCAAGCTTCAGCCTAGCGGGCCCCTTAAAGTTTAAATTAATATAAATGGAGGTTTGTATGCATGGGGGAAAACACCAGGCGGGCGGCGGCAGCAGCTTTGTTCATTAGCAGCTGCCCCCCCCTCTCTACAGAGATGCAGGTAACTGGGTTCATGGGTAAAGGTACATTCATTTTGTGGCCCATAATTAGATCTGCCGGGAGAACTCGCTGCACAATTCAGCACACCCTGCATGTCATGGTTTGCATTTTAAATCCAAACCAATTGCGTGTGCAAATTGTTTTGTAGATTATTTTTTTTACCTTTTGGAAAAAGTGGATGAATTTGAAAGCCCTTTGTCTCCATCAGTCACACCGTCATTACTCGTGTGTAGGAGTGGGTATTTTGTTTGTCCTTTCCCCCCCCCCACACACACACCTTGCCCTTTGGCTTGTAGTAATTAGCTGCCATGTACTGCGACAATACTGTCGACTAACCAGACTTGGCAACAGTACACGTTCCCTTAATTAAAACGGGACGCACGAATCCGCTCCTCATTAGTTGATTTCACAATATAATGCTCTGGACTCAGTGCCTCATTATTCCAGCAGGTCATGTTATCTGTGCTGGTGCTGAACATCATAAAGTCACCCGTCATATCCTCTCCCCCCCCTTCCAAAATGCGAGGAGAGGCACCATTTTTCCAGATCCCTGATCCATTTTTATGTAGCAGCAGCAAAGAAGCATTTTATGTTCGACTCCTGCTCGCTGCTGTCAACCATACCATCAACACCTTCACCTCAAAGTGGTAAACATGGGAAAACTTCCTGCTGCTTTTAACTACATGTGAGTTGAAGTGTGAACTTTAATGCTCGCCTTGACAGATATGCCGAGCGGGAGACCGACTGCTGACAAGTGAAGCATTGGACAGTCTAAGAAGGTTGATATGCCGCTGCACTTCTCTGACTGACAGCATCCACAGACATTTACACCGACTCAATGTTGCCCCCTGCTGATCATCACTTAATCTATTTAGGAACAGCATGTTAATTAACCAGATATTAATTAATGAATTAAACAGATGGGGAGTGGGAGGTGGAAGTATTTGAAGATAAAGAGAGGCCTTTACAAAAGTCTAACTTTGTGTTTTCATCTTTATTCGCGTCCCATCTCTTTTTGTTCTTCTGCAGCGTTAATCCCCCGTGAATAACAAATGCAAGTAGAGACTTTCATATATTACCTCTGAACAAACAAAAACAGTGCTACAAGAGAGGAGAGAAAAAAGAAAAAAGACGTTTACACAGAAAGTCAGACGCACATCGAAACAGCAGGGGAGAAGTTTATGACAAGGTTATAAGACACCGGGGAGAAAGTGCGATGCGAGATGAAGTGAAATCTGCTGACAGAAATGTTAACCGCAGCTGGAGGGAAGAGAAGGGTTCTGCGGCGCTCACTGTGAGAGCCAGAGCAGAAAGTATTGAATTGTGGCGGGAGCAGCAAAAAGCAGCAGCCCTCCCGTGGAGGAAAAAAAGGAAAGAAAAGTGAATATAGAGACGGGGTAAAGCGACGCGACACGGTGAGGCTAAGACACAGGTGGGGGGCTACGAGATGTCTGTCCTAAGCTTTGGACACTGATGACATCATCTATGGATGCTGTGAAAGAGCAAATAAGGGTAGGAAAGGCTGGAGACAGCCTTGGGGTAAGAAACACTGGAGATCAAATACAAAGAAGTGCAGCTCATCTGAAGAAACAGACTTGATGTTTTGGGGATTGGAGGGGGATCAGTTCACCCAAATTAGACCAAAGGCATAACTGGACTTCAGTAGTGCGTGGCTATGCAGGCAGTGTTTGTATTAAGAGGCGAGCTTTGGAGATCTCTCTTAAATGTCAATGAAATTCTGCTCCCAGACCCATTTTAATAAAACATATGCTACATGTTTATGGCTTCCTGTTTTCTGCTCAGTATACTGGCAACAAGTTTTTAGGAAATAATGAAACCAAACCGAGCAATCATAACAAAACAAAGCAAATGTTTTTCCCCCCTTTGTTTTCGGGGGCGTTCCCGAGCCTCGATCCACAATTTAGTTTTAGCATTTCGCAGCTGAGAAGGTCTTACATTCACACTCTAAATCAGCCGTGCTCTTTTGTTTCTGCGGCAAGATTGCAGCAGCAATTTTAAAGCAGCAGTCAATGGGGGGGGGGAAAAAATTAAAAATCAAATTAAAATAGCTGTAATGGGGTGGTGTGGCAGAAATCTGAGCGACATTTTGGAGCGTAATAGTCACTGTGCCATCCGTGATTAGATGAAACAAAATAAAATAAAATTGAGAAACATTCTTTTCTACTTAGCTTTTTAAAAGCACGATCTGCTACAGTTCGAAGTCTTAATGAACGTAATATTTCTGGGAATCTGGACAGAGCAATGCACAAAACAAAAAGTGCAATAAAACTGAGTCACCTTGGGCTCTGGAAATGATGATGATAGTTTTACAGCCTTGCCATAATGAAAGTAACGTAATAGAAGCCCTGAACAGATTTCTAAAAACACCGTGCATGGCCACATATTATTATACCTCCAAAGCCTCAGTTGATTGATCGTTTGGAGTTGTGTTTTTTTTTCTTCATATAAGGTGCAAATCAAAAGAACATCCTTCAACAGTTTGCACACCACTTGAAGTATAAAAAAATAAAAGTATTTGCTTTTATAATTCGGATGAACTGACCACTTAATTTCTGATATTTCCCGTCAATGTGAATTATTTTCCTTCAGTGAAATGAGGCACTGCTCGACAGACACCCACATTAACTAATGATAATCAACAGTATTATGGATGGTCCCTGAAAGTGTACACCTCGAAAATGCTCCCATTTAAAAAAAACAACAACAAACCTTCATATATTCACATAAACATACTCCACAGACACACAGGTACCAATATATCTGCTGCATGGTGTATATGAGGTATAGTCTTTGTCTAATCTTCTACTGCATACAGTATGGTACAGCCCAAACTCTCAACAGTGAAGTACAAGCACAGGAACGACCAACGGGAGCTTGAAATTCACAGTCTTTCCACACATTTTTCATCCGCGAAGAGGAAGCTCAGGAAGAGAAAAAAAAAAGTTTCCTATCTACAAGGGGAAACAGTGGACAGGTAAACAGTCAGCCAGTATGATTAATGATCGCACGGTTATCACATAGTGACCAAAGTGGGAATCGGGCAGCGTAAGGATTCGCAGCTTCTGTCTCCTGGTGAGTTGAGATATGAGAGAGAGAAAAAAAAAAAGACCTCACATTCTCTTTGCTGCAACTGAGACTGTCAAAAAGGAGGGAAAAAAAATGTCAGTCAACCTTATAACGGTTCAAAATCAAAACACTGATCTGTTTCATCTTCACTGCATACCTGGGAAAAACAAAATTAAGAACCCATTTTCTAAATAAAGCTTTGCAAATTGCACTCTGATGTGACACGCGTCCCGGGCTCTTTTTTTTTGTTGTCATTTTGAATATTTACATTCAGTAGTTCAGTGCAGGATGAAGCAGAGATAGAAAAAGAAACTCCTTGCAAAGGAGAACCCTTAATTTTTCGACCACCGACACTGAACAGACACCCGGCTGAATCTGATGAGTGATTCTGGCCGTCTTTGTCATTTTGGAACAGCTAAAAGTTCACCCGGGTTCTGCTGCTCTTTGAGCCGTCTGCAGTAACGGCTATCGCCTGCCCCCTGCTGTGCAGTCAGTCCTGTTACAGTGGACCCTATCTCTCCTGTAGCGTTTGTAGTTCTACTTTAAAACAAACAAAAACAAAAAAAACAGAGTCCCAGACCCTCTGTTGCCAGCCCACGCTCGGCATGGGAGGTGGTTGTTGGTCTGAGGAGTCTTAGAGGGTTTCTTTTGATCGGCACCGTTCTTATCGCAGCTTGAGCTTGAAGGCAGAGATCTCCATGGGATCGAGGGTGATGGTGGTGTTGTTGGCCAGAGGCGTGCCGGAGTGCATCAGAGTTAGTGACATGGGCTGAAGCAGCTGTAGGTCCAGGTTCTTGAACAGAGCCGACACGCTCAGCTGGACAGGGAGAAAAAGGAGGAGAGCTTCAGAGAAAAATACAGACAACAGGAGACTTCTTTTAAGCAAAAGCAACACAGCACAAGATGAACTGAAAAATCCACATCTACAGGAGGCTCATCAACAAAATTGACTACGTAATTATCAGCAGTAAAAAGCGCTGCCAATAAATAAAAATCATTTGATCATCGTCAGTGTACTCACAATCAGCGTGGATTCTGTCGCAAGGACTACTTTAATCAACAGATGCTTTGGCAGTCGAATCAAAATTACTTCTTTTTAAATGTCATTAGGCAGGATAAAAAAAACGTTACATATGACAGAAATAACAATGCAGCTGATCTTAAATATGCTACAAAATAAACCTCTTATCATGCAAAAATGTAGAGTAGTTTTATCCTGCGTGTGAGTTTCAACCCTGACCTGTCCCTGAGTGGTGGTGCAATTGAATCCGAGGTTCTGAGCTTCGAAGTTGCAGTCCAGCGCCAGACGGTGAAGAATCAAAGCGGTGTATGGAGAGGGAGACTGGGGGTCCTGCTGCTCATATGCAAACGCACGAAAAACAAATCAAAGTATGAACTGTCTAAAATAAAGTTTCCACTTTGTGAAAATCGTTTTTGTTTGTTTTTAAATGTGTCTTTATACCTGACTCTGGATGCTGCGGAGGTTCACCAGGTGGAGGTCGCAGGGGAGGATGGACTTGAGGGGAGCAAAGGTTTGTAGAGGAGGGATGCCGCGTCTTTTGGGCAGAATGGGTAAGGCCAACACCTCATGGTTCAGCATGGCATTGGTCATGTGACTGAGTACAGATGGGAAGCTGGTTGTTGCACTGTCAGTCATCTGCAGGAGGGCAAAGTCAGATTTTAAAACAGTTGTGATAAATGACCGCAGAACTATTACAGCATCTTGAGTCACCTCTAGAGATGCTCTAGTTCCACTACATGAGGGACGGGCTCTAATTACTCTGTCCGAGCAGGAGGCGTATTTCTAATTCTAGTCCAGACAGACACGGTGCTAATCACAACTTTATGATGTGAACATTTAAATCACATGCATCGTCTCTGGCAACACTTCGCCCCCGTGTGATCGACAGGTTAGATGGAGAGCCCGATGATAAAACTGCAACCGAGGCCTTCCATTCTCTGCCAATGTGCATTCATTTACTTGATAAATGATATCATTTGTTTCTTTCAGTCGGGCTGTCATAAAGATGAACTGGTTTGGCTACAACTGTGAGGTGGAAGGAAGGGGGAAAACTGGAGCTATGAGCCATAACTAAAGATACAGCTTTACCTCTTGAACTCGGTCACTCAGTAATGTTGAGAGAAAAGAACGTAACAAGGACGAGAGTTTGGCAAAGAAGCCATCGTGCTGAAGGTAATGGAGTGAAGGGGAGAAAAAAGAAGAAGAGAAGGGAAACAAAATTAGAGAGTGGAGAGGATAGCAAAAAGACAGATGGGCTGGTAATGAGTACTGGAAAACAATATGAGGAAAGGTGTTAACAGATAGCACAGACGGAGAACAAATCACGCACTGCACCCGACAACCTTCCACAGTCTTCAATTCCTCAAGCCAGCTACAGTGTGCCGGAAAGACCACAGCTGCTGTCATCTTACAGACCTTGTTACTGGCGGATCTCCTCTCCAGCAGCAGCCGGAAACGATTGGCCGTCTTCTTGTTGTCTTTCAAGCCCTGACCCAGCCCACGATTATCATCCTGCATCAGTCGTCGGTCCATAATCACTTCGAGCTGACCTGAAGGGAGAGCGGACCAGAGACAACAGCTTGAGCTCACGTATTGAACTTTCAGACTTGAGTCAATAGATGCAAACACTTTGAGCTATCTGTCATTTAGAAACATTACTAATGATGATAAAAGGATTAGCTCAGCACACAAACGTGCGGATTTAAACGGTTTCACTCTCTGAGAACCTCTTAAGGGAGAAGAGGGAGAGCTAAGTGCTTGAGTCCTAATGCATAGTAAACAAAGAAAAATACCACACGTTTCGAAGATAACTTCCATTAAAAGATTAAATGAAGAAAAATGGCACATTATTGAATAAAATGTAACGGGATACAAACCACTCTCCAGGCTGCTGACACCCAGAGCCTGAGCCGTGTGCAGCGTGAGGCGGTAGTTGCCATCCTGGATGTACGCTTGGCTGGGCATGGGATAGAAGTTGGCTTGCAAGGGCAGCTTCATGTAGTGTTGGCGAGGCTGCATCTAATAGAAAACAGACGCAACATTTCAAATAAATCTGAATACAAGTTGTTATTTCTCCTTTACTCACGATGCTACTGACCTGGAAGCCATTGAGGTCTGTGTAGAAGACCTCTCCACTCTGGATGTCAGTGACCAGTCGCATGGCCAGCTCCTTATTGGTCTGATCTCTAATGTCCACCATGGTGGTGATGTCTATTGATAAACCATCCACCCCTGAAAATGCGAAACAAGTCAGAGGAAGATGGAAATGTTCACTACAAACAAGACTAAATCATATCAGCTTCCTCACACTTAAAAAAAAAAAAAAGAAAGTCAACAGAGTCCAAAAAAAATCTCATTAAATTCTAAATTGTCATTTTGTTAAACATATTGGCTGTTGTTGTATTCTACCATCTGGTGTCTTTAAACATAAAAAGCCTAGGCAAAGCCAATTTGAGCTCAATCCACTAAGCAGTTTTGAGTAGTTACTACCTGGCACATTGTAGATGCGGATGGTTTGTTGAAAGTGCTGGTAGTGTGCCACCACCTCAGAGAAAAGAGGCCCCTCAACAACTCGCACCACAGGTGGCTCTTTCTGGTGGTAAGGCTGAAAGAGTAAAAGGAAGGCGAAACAGTGCGATTTCAAAATG